ATAGCACATAGGTTACTTTTTATCCCGGAAAAATGTACGGTTCCCGTGGGATATCCATATTAAACGTTAACAAGTACCGAGAGTGAATCGCTAGTAAAGAAATAGGTATAGGTAAATACAAATAGAATATATAATTATTTAAAAGAATTCGTAAATATAACACTAATGTCTATTACGGTAGACTATTCTCAGTTCCCCATGTAACACGAGAACACTCGTTAAAAATTGTACTTTTACTCGAGATCTCTGTTCTAGCAATTATATCGCTTTTGTTAGTCAGAAACTGTATTATATTGGAAAGCATCAGTGTTTTGCACGTGCAATAAAATGTTCAACCGAATACGTTGTTTTCTATTATATTAATTACAGAACAAACAATTATCATGTTACATACATACATACATACATACATACATACATACATAAATACAATACATACATACATACATACATACATACATACATACATACATACATATATACATACATACATACATAAATACAATACATACACTATGATTGAAACAAAAGATAATCTATATCTAAGCCAGGTTAAAAATAACTCTCTGCGGAAAACTATGTAAGGCCTCATTTCCATCATCTGCATTCAGGCCACGCAATACTCCATTTCCTGTTTAAAGCTTATCAGTAGGTACTCATTTCCTAGATTGTCTAAGTGCTGAATAAACAAAGAGATCGATAGACACTCGAAACCATTTATATAGATTATACAATGTCTGTAGTAATAATTATAATTATTAGAAAGTATTTGTATTTTGCTTTGTAACTATAGTAATATTGTTTAGTAATATCTAAATATACAGTAAATTAAATTAAAGTCTCTGTAATGTCAAAATAACAGCATTTTACTAAATGCATATTAAATTTAAAATAATAATACAGTACACGGTTTAATTATATACGGTACTTATAAGAAAAATACATTTTTTTTTAATTTTTGTCTGTCTGTCTGTTTGTTTCGACCAATCTCCGAAATGGCTGAACTGATTTTGACGAAACTTTTACTGACAGATAGCTGATGTTATAAGGAGTAACTTAGTGCTACTTTTATTTTAGAAAAAGAATTAGGGTTCCGCTCAAAAAATATAAAACGTACGTATTAGGGACGCATTTGAGCGAAGCGAGGGTATGTCGCTAGTGCTAAATAAATTGGCCTAAATGATTTCACAAATTTCTGTATTTAACATGTGTAAGTATCTAATATTATGAATTAAAATGTGAAAGTGTTTGATTATTTGGTTTATCTTTCTTAATTTTTAGTTAGCAAGGCTGAGCCGTTTTGTAAAAAATATTTACAAAATATAATATAAACAAATCGTCCTCGTTTGTCGCTCTCCCTATTGGTAAAATCTATGTCATAGTTTTAAAAAAATATTTCACGTACAGATTTGCCTTTGTTAATATTTTATTATAGGTATGGATAGATTATTTTGATGAATATTTTGTGTTAGCTTTTGCTATTCTTTTGCTTAATATTGCCTTTGATAATCTCATGAGAAGAATTGAATTATTCGTTCGCATGTTTACTTAATAAATCGACGCTCTACCTAATCCATTAACGGCGACTTGTTGTTGTAATAAAAAACAACCATAGTCTATAGAGACTAAAAAAAAGTTTACGCGTAAGAGCTTCATGTTATGTGCAAAAAGTAAGAAAAAGAACCGTTCCGAGTTATCTCTTAAAAACCAATTTTGCAATCGTAATATCTAGTATTATGTTATCGAATGTGCTTTATCAGGAGCAGGAACTTAATTTTTTTACAATCGATATCTTATAATCTTTATAAATCGATGATCGAGTTTAAGGATTTTTTTAGAACACAAAAAGTAGACGAATACTTTTTTTATCCTATTTTAATGAACGGAGATTTCAGAGGTACCTAGACATTTCGATTTCTATTAGGCGATTGTATTCAATCTTTGTTTATTATTTTTAAGCCTGTCGTTTGTGTTATACTTATTATGAGTTACTTAATTTCTATAATATTATACTATCGACTTACCCTCGCTTCGCTCGGGTTCGTTGCTGCGTTTTAATATTTAGTATATATTTCTCAGAGATGAGATATTTTCCCGCAGTAAAAAGTATCCTATATGTCGACCCGGATAACTAGCTATCATAATACCACATCAACATCGGTCCGGTGACTTTCCCCTGGTGCGTTCCCAGACAGACAGACAAACAAAAATTCTAAAATCTATAGATTCAGCTTCTGTATCGATAATAATGGCTTTTTCAATAAGATTTTTTCAAAAAATATTTAGTGTACAAATTTCACTCAGAATTTTATTATATGTATAGAATAGATAGGTTATATAGATACACAGTAGTTTTCTCATAAGATTTTACACGAGGACAAAGATTATAGTCATTTTTTTTTAATTTACGTAATAACTCAAAATTATAAAATAAATTTAATTTATTTTATTTCATTTATGACTCGCGAATGTTAACGTTTGCCTAAGCTAATGGTGCCAACTAACTTCCTTGTTTTATATAAATGAGCAAATAAACGGTTTGAATAAATTTACATACAAATCGTTATTTGACACAAGTGATTTCATTTGTACTATGTACTGTAAATATAAAGATTTTGCTTATTAACATTCATTATGTACCGTCAAATGCTCTTACATAATTAAAATATCGTAAAAGCTTATAAGTATTGAGTAAACCTTCTTAGTTCTTACTATATGTACGAAAATGTTATTAATGTTCCAAATATATTATTACATAGAAGTAAATACAAGCTTATAAATATAATTAAACTCAGTTAGTATTGTTTTTAATTAACAATGTAATATGTATGTTCGTTTTATAACAGGTTTCTTGAAAAGTTAATAATATTAATGTTTGTCTGTTACGATTTAAGACTATCTGTAAAATAAATGTTTCTGTTGAAGACATACTAGGGATACATATTAGGGATGTTATCGCCTCTAAATTATTTCAACGTTAGAAAAATATGAAATTTTAAAAAAAGTGAACTGTTATAAAGTTTTGTTATTTTGTAGGGATACTCTCAGTTTTTTTTTCAAAATGCGGTACTTTTTCTACAATAACAGTAAATCTGAATTACCGATATTTAATAAAAAAATAGAATTTGCAAAAGCTTTGATATGTATACCTACGGAGACAGAGAATTGGATGATTTAAAAAAAACTAATAGATCGACAATAACTCAGTATTCAAATATTTTGCTTTACTTGAACTTTATAATTTCTTAGATTTTCGCGAATATTGGACATTTTAAATAAAACTATCTTTTCGGATTATTTCGCGGATTTATTTTTATAGTCTCTCCCGTGACCATGATTGCTGTAAAGCATTCGAAAAGATAGTTTTATTTAAACTTACTTGAACTCTCTTCTTGAACTTTGTCTGAATTGCATTATTTCTAAAATTGAATGTATATTCGTTTCTATACATACTCGTATATTTTGCCATTGTATGTAATTTATGTTATTTTTATTACTTATTATTCTTTCTCTAATTTATTCTTTTTTATTTATTACTTGTTGATATGTCAACAAGTAATAAATAAACATTAAAGTACGCTGTATATGACTGTTGAACACGTAATGTGTCAATTACACTACTTATTACTAAAGATGAGTATAAAATATTTGCCATATTAACTTATTCCTTTAGCCTTGAGGGCTGTTACTCGCTGCGTAAATTGTTACTGATTTTATTGTTCTGTTTATCATGGTAGCTTCTTCCTGTAATCAATTTTTTAAGACATTAAACAATATTGCAGACACGCTTTTTTTTATTAAGAAACGTGTTTGTTGTTATCAAAAAAAGTTATAATGCTCCGAATGATAATAATTCTAAGTAGTGCGTATGAAATAATAAATGTGTCTATATAATAATGACTCTTATGCCCGATTTCACCAAGAACCCATAAGCTACCACCTACGTATGGGATCCCTAGCTTAAAAGTCCCCTAAACTAACCCCTAAATTAAATTTCGTTTTACGATCGTCTTTAAGCCCATATTTCGAGCACCTAAATTTAGGGGGCCTTTTAATATTTAGGTGACCCCTAACTGTCGGTGAAACAGAAACTGTCCCCTAACAGCCCCTTAACCATGCTTGGGCCTTAAACTTTGCACCCTTAAACTTAGGCGACGTTGGTGAAATCGGGCATTAAGGTTTTAAATTATTAAGTAAGTCACTTATCGCTTAATTCAGGCTACATCAATTTGAATGACAAAGCTACGACATTTTTGTGTAATGCAATGGTCAAATTGTAATAATTTATAGCGCCTATATTACTGCTATTTTCCTAATATCAATTCGAAGTATGTATTCTCGAAATCACTTCAAACAAACAAACAGACAGACATGTTAAAAAATTGTGTATGAGAGTAATACACACCTTATAAATATACTGAGAGAAAATGTCAAAATCACTGGCACGCCTAAAAGCCAAATAACAAAGAATTAAATTGAAATGGTCAATATATGTAAAATAAATTAAAAAAAAATACGTACTGGGAAGACTTGAACATAATATTGTAAAGAAGATTAAGAAATAAAACTATTTTTATTTTATTTTTAAAATGATTGGATGTTTTTAAGAAATACTTAAGTGTGAAGAATTTCATAAAGTTGACATTCACGGTCAAATACGCTTATTAGAAGTGATTAAAATAGTTCTACCATAACATAGATAAGGTTTTATTACTTCTTTTACTTTTGTTTATAATCAAACTTTCAACAATATTTATTAATCGAGACATACAATAATAAGAAATATACACGATCTTTTTCTTTTGTGCAAATAAAATTCGTCTTCTGAACAAGACATATATCTGCATAGAACTTCTTTCTTAGAATAGTAGTACGAAGCTGCATTAACTTTATACATGCAAATAAGATCGTGCAACTAAAAAAATATACATAAAGTATAAAGTGTGAACTCTTTCATTTTTGAGCTACTAAAAAAATAATTTTAATTTCTCTTGTTACAGACAAGTTTTATCCCATATCAAGAACATACCTGAGTTGATTCTGTTGGGAAGTGAATCCCGGACTATGAGAAGATTACCGATATTTTCTCTGATGGTGAAACACCCTCGTGGTACTTTCCTTCACCATAACTTTGTGTGTACTGTACTTAACGATGTGTTTGGTATTCAAGCGAGAGGTGGACTGAATAGTAATTTAAGCTACGGTGCTGATATACTGGGTATTGATGAACAGCTTCTCAAGGAATATGAAAAATTATTGGATGTTGAAGCGTAAGTAAATTTTTATGAGAATGTTTTATCTATACTAATATTATAAAAAGGTAAAGTTTGTGAGGTTGTGAGTTTGTGACGTTGTGGGGGGTAGGGGGTAATCTCTAGATCTACTGAACTGATTCAGATGAAATTTGGTAAGAAGATATTTTGTGACCCTGGGAAGGACATAGGAAATTTTTTATTCCGGAAATCATCCCTTAAGGGGTCGAAAATGGGGATAAAAGTTCGTATGGGGAATCAACCTAGGGACGAACTCGAGCGAAGCGAGGGTGAGTCGCTAGTTTTTAAATAATATGAATTTTTTTTTTCTCAAGTACTTTCTATTTTTTACAGGCAAAAAGAAATAGCGAGAGTACGAAAATTGAGTGTAGTTAAATCACCTGACGTACCAATACATAATGAGCATTTGAGGCCTGGTTTCTGCAGAGTCTCACTTCCATTCTTTATGTCAGAAAATGAATTAGCATTTGTTCTAGAAGCACTTAAAATGGTCGCTACTGAGGGCTGGAAAATTTTGCCACAGTATGTTGTGAATTCACAAACCGGCCAATGGACGCATCATACATGTTCAGTACTTAGAGATAAGAAGTCACTATACTCGTTGAGATTCAATGATGGACAGATAACTGCACATGAACGGAGAATATCAGGTAAAATACAATTTTATTAATACAATTTTTTATTACTTTTTTCCCAAATAAAATGTACGTTTTATTAAAATACATAATGCTGATATGATATTTTGCTTAACAGGTCCAGGAATATTTCCACAAACACACACAGAATGTCTACAAACAGCTAGGAATCTTTTCAGCAGAGCCAGGAAATTGGCAATGAAATGCTCAACAGTGGAGCCTGAATATAGTTTTAATCCAAAAATCGATTATTTAAGATGGTTTATGCTGCCAAAAGAAGCTCATGACTTATTGTTAGGAAAATCGGCTAATGTCAAACATATTGTACCATTTGATCCTTCTGGATATACAGGCGCTAGAAAGAGTTTGAATATTTCAAGATTTTCAAATACTTCTTCTCCTATACTAGGCTCATCTCCAAGACACTTCAGTTTGTCGGCTATAGACGATTGTCAGATGTTCAGACTTAAAGAAAAACAAAAGTTTTATTCGAGAGAGTCAAGTTTGAAAGAAACCACCAAGGAGGAAGCTGTTAAAGTGACGCCCCATCCAGTGCAATTCGCAGTAGGAGAATCAGTATCTCCATTACGATTGGTTCCTAAAACTTCAAAACCGCTTATGAGGTTAAGATGCTATTCCTTGGGTTCTGACATACCACAAGTACATTTAAGCGCTGAAACAAGAATGAATCTTGGACTTAAAGAAACAAGTCCAAACAATAATGCTAAAGTCAGTAGTTTTTGTAACTGTGGAAGTCAAACTGATCTACCGTCTTTAGACGACGTCATTGTGTCCCCTAGTAAGAAGTATCCTTATAGTGCTCAAAGTAGTACATCGATATCCGATTGTAGTCAAGTAGGACGTATTTCCCCTACAGCATCAATAACATCGCATACATCTGAAGATCTGCAGGCGTACGTCAAAGAAATGACTAAAGAAATTGCTACAGAGATAAAATCTGAAATACGTGGGGTGATATCTAAAGTTGATGATATTTTAGAGAATTCGGACTCAATTGAACAAGCGAATTTAAGCATGACCTCCATATCTAGTCAAAGTGATAAAAACTCCGTATCAGTTATAGACGTTGCAGAATATTTGATGGGAATGTCGAGGGAAATGGCATCCGAAGTTAAACATGAAATTAGAGAAATGGTCAACAGAGTCGATGAAATGATTTCTCCAGAATTAACATTGAATTCTAGGAAAAGTCCACCTCAAACCGGTAGAAAGAGAATAGGATCTGGACCAGAGTTAGGGTTAGATTTGAACAGACTTAATTCTTCACAATTAAGAAAATGTCCAACGAGTCCTATACTTCCATCTCAATCTCAATTAGATGAAGAAGAAAGACTTAGTAAAAGATCTCCTCAATCGCCTAAATCAGCACAATGCACGCCTTCTCACGAGGCATCTGGACCGAACAGCATTTCATTTAATTCAAGTGAAACATCTACCCCCGATACAATAATTCAAGTCGTAACGACATCTCAAAATTCTCCAGTGCTTCCTAAATCTTCAAGTTCTAATAAGTTATCAGATGAAGAAGTAAGCTGTACAGATGTGATCTGTAGACATTGTTGTATAAAAAAGGCTTGGTGCCAAAATCCTTCAGTGAGTTCCCAAGACAGTGGAATCAACATGACGTTTACGGAAACCGACTCTTTAATTGATCTTGGTAAGTTTTATTTACAAATCGCATAACTCTTATTTGTGAAGTGATAACAATAAAATGGTATGGTGGTGGTCTTCATCATATCTTGTTTTGAGCTGAATTTAACCAGATTTCTTAACAGCGTTTTATTACCAAAGTGTTTTTGAATTGAGTTAAAAATTGTAATTTATTTACATATCAATATTTTTGCAATAGTTACATGTTTGTAAATTAGTTTTGCTAATAATTAAAAACTATTATTCTTTATGATTAATTAATAGCTTTGAAACTTACAAAATATTCCAAAAAATATTATTTTTTATCACAATACTTTGACAATAAAATGTAAATAATAAATTACAGTAAAATGGCGAACTTCTTCAGATCCGACAAACAACAAAGTACGCAAGCTGCAAGGACGATTGCGAATGTGCCAAAAACATGAAAAAAGTGAAGTGCCAGATATTATAGAAGGCGTTCCCGTTTGTTCCGGAGATATCAAACAGGATAAGACTTACACTGAGGCGGACTCGGGCAGAGTTGTCTTCCAAATACCGGATGAAGTTGAGCGACAGAGGTGTGTAAAACTATCTGTACATTATGTAAGCTTTTATATTTAAGTATACATACTAATATTATAGTGAGACAGAGTTTGTATGTTTGTTTGAATTCGCTAATCTCAGGAACTACTAATCCGATTTGAAAAAATATTGTATTAGATAGCCCGTTTATTAAGGATTGCGATAGGCTTATATATCATCATGCTACTACTACCCGAGGGAGTGGAGCAGTAATTGTAAATGTCAACAAATCGATCAGACTTCCATACATTATTGTATAACAGACGTTCATATCGGAGGTTTGCTTGATAACTAACTTAAGATTTAAGAACTAGCTAGTACGAAAGCTGATTAGGTCCTGGATTTGAATCTTGATTTGGATTTAAAGAGCGTCCCGCAGTAGACGTTTCACTCTCGCCGCGAGATGTGCATTCTCGTATGTATGTCTCAGACTTCATAATACTATATTCCTTCGTGAACTTGTTTTTATCTTTTTAGTTAGCTTTTATGCAGTCGAGTTATTTATTTTTTAACATATTTTTTTAACATATTTTTTTATTATAAAATACTTTTTTCTAAATTTTTACTATTTACGAAGATGAACAATTTTTTTTCTATTTATCCATGCAATATTTTTTATATTATACGTCCTACTTTAACTTGCTTATTACAGGAACCCTTCATCAGCATTAGATTCGAAGAGATCGAGCAGATCGTCCAACGCATCATCGAGCTGTTCTGATCGTAGCTCTCGATCAAGCGGCTACGGGACAGACGGACATAGAGCCTCTCATGACGAACCCTACTTTGATCGAAGGTGGTTAGCGATATTTCATTTAAAAATTCAACTATGTAATAAAACAAACGACGTAACCTCGCGTCGCTGTACCCTGGCTGGAGGAGCCTAGCCAATGGTCCACTCCAGGTCATACATAATCTGTGCGCTAAATTTCATACAAATCCATACAACCGTTTCAGCAGCAATGAGTAACAAACACACAATCCGTATTAATATTATAAATGTGAAAGTTCGTGAGTATGGAAGTTTGTTACTCTTTCACGCCAGAACGGCTGAACGGATCTGGATAAAATTTGGCACAGAGATGGATTATAGTCTGAAATAGCACATAGGTTTATTTTTATCCCGGAAAAATGTACGGTTCCCGTGGGATACGTTTGTTTTTGTTTTCCTAGAGGCGAACCCGAGCGCAGCGAGGGTGAGCCGTTAGTACACACATAAATAGCTAGCAATTATAATAGTAGTCCAATTCAACTCTAATATAAAAGACAGTACTTAATAATATTATGTTTTACTAACTATTAAGGCATATTTTTTTAACATTCAACTTTGTTTAAGCGCTACCTTCGAGTCACTACACCTTCTAAAATATTTCCCGAGACAACTTAATCAACTAATTTTACTTTTAATTCTGCCTTTCTTACTTTAATTTTCAAATTACTAGAACTATTTATCTCAAAATTGTATTTAATTTATCCTTGAATTTCATCAAAATCTACTCTAAAGAAGTTACATTAATAACACCGTATTATTTTAATAGTGAATCAGAATACCGTTTCAAATCGGATTGTTGCTGGGAGGAGACTGAGAGGGACGACAGTAGCGCGTGTAGCGACGCCTCCCTCACAGACTTCACCTTTGACGATGAGGGCAAATGGCATTGTCCTCCCAAAGCTGTTTGGAAAGCTACTGTAGAGGTATGTATTATTAAATACATCGATATTTCACACTTGACAATAGAGATTCTAAAATCTATTGAAATTATTTTTTTGCAGGCGTTTTTAAACATATACGTAATTACTTACTTTTATATTGTTTTCCTTACAACTTGAATGAAAAATCAAAAGATAAATTAATATAATTCTTAGTGAAAGCATGTTTAATCGTTATGGTTTCAAAAAGATATACAAATTTATTGTGTGTTCAAAATTTATTTCGAAATATTTCCGAAAATTACATTAAAACTTAGAGTAATAGTATAAAAAAATGTTATAAAAGAAAACAATATCGAATGTAAACAATAGCATTCCTAAGGAGGGTTGATGTTAGGCAGGTGGCCGGTCGTAAAACTTTTGCCAAATCCTATCAGCAGTACAGAAGATGTACTGCGCTGAACCCAAGTGATTGGCAAATGGACAGGGAGATGATGATGGTTTCAAAAAGATATGATAAATCGTCATAACAGTTTCAGATTTTCGAAGCACCTGTAAAAACACTCTAAGATTGTTTTATAATTATTTTTATAATAATGTTTAGAATTTATACTCGTAAGTATTTTGATATTATTGTACATTTCTAGGCTATACATGAATATAACATGGTCCGACCGGGCGACAAAGTGCTAGTGTGTCTGTCCGGCAGCCGCGACTCCATAGCGCTGCTGCACACTATGCACCAGTACCAGTTCTACGCCAGATCTAAGGGGATACATTTTAGTATTGGTACGGTTCTAAAATTTTAATTATATTATTATTACTTAGTAAATTTTCCACAATAATAAGAATAAGATGTAATCTTCTTCTGTTAATGTAGTAATATAATATAATGTTTGACATAAACAAGTTGACGTTCACTAATCTCTTATTAATCTATACTAATAAATGGAGAGCCGACTTGTTTGTTCGGTTGGTATGGTATGGTATGGTATAAGACGGGCCAGTTTCCGCAACTCGACGTCTGCGCGCCTATTTTGCGTGTGTGGGAAATTTTCCAAATGTTTATTCTTGCCAGCCCAGTTCCTCCAGGAACTTCAGTAGTCTCTTCGTCCTACCGAAGACCTCCGGGAGTGTACTAGGGGTGCCAAGATGTTGAGCCCGGTACGCCGCTACACCTGGACAATGTAAAATCACATGTGCAGCCGTTTGTTCGGTTATACTGCGATAACTACTGAACCGATCGGAATAATACTCATACTATAAGATGCAGCGTGTTTCGGAGAAGGTTTTAGTATATGGTATGTTGGTGATTAATGTACTGTGCGGGCGGAGCCACAGGAAACGCTAGTGCTTAAAATAGAAAAAAATTAAACCATAAGGGATTGTCACGTAGTCAGAATATAACATTTTCTATTGCTTAAAGTATATCAATTTTTTTAGGTGCTCTATTCGTTCAAGAACCTCAGTCCGACGTGGACCCCCTCCACTTGATGGCGTACTGCAGGACTCTTGGAGTAAAGTTCATCTATCAGGACAAACTCAACCGAGAAGAAATGCAACGTGAGTACCCTTTCTTTTTATTTCTTAGGTATACTTAGATTTATTTTTCTAATCAGCAAAGTTTCATGAAAATCAACAGATTATTCTAGAAATAATAAATAAAAAACTAAAAAAACGTTCAAAACCGAGTTTTCTGCAAATATCTCGAAAACTTTGAGGTTATTGTAAAAAGTGTCATTTTTAATAGTTGTAGATTTTTACTATTCCTACAACTTTTGTAGAAAATATTTTTCGATAGAACGTCACCGTAAGCCGGAAATTCAAAAAACTATTTTTCAATGCTTTGCGTCTCTCCATTTCTCGGGGGTAGCTGGTATTTTTAAAATCATAAAATTTCAAGTTTTCAATAAAAAAAAATCTCCTAAAAATAAACGGATTCCGTCCGATTGGTTTATTACAATTTTTCAACCGATTTTCTCAAAAAAGAGGTTTTCAATTCGGCTCTATGTATTTTTTTTATGTTTGTTACCTCAGAACTACGTCCGCGGTTGAAAATTGTATATTTTTGGAACGGCTTACCTCTGCTAAAATCCACCCTTCGCCACTGCTGTGTAGTAATGTTGCAGCATATTTAAAATATATGTAGTTCTATATATATATATATATATATGAACATGTGTAGACTCATGTGCATGTCTGTATGTGCAGAGCACGGGGGCGCGGGCGGGCGGCTGCAGCGCTGGGCGAGCCACGCGGTGCGGCGGCGCGCGTACGCGGCGGCGGCGGCGCACGGCTACGGCGTGGCGGCGCTGGCGCAGAGCCTGGACCGCGCCGCCGCCGCCTTCCTCGCCGGCGCGCTCTACGCCGGCGTGCTCGACACCGTCAAAGCGCATTATAGGGTCAAGTTAGTGTACTTTATACGTTTATGATTGTGTATTCTATATACACGATATAAATTTATTTTATAAGTACATAATATTTCTTGTGATGTTAAACTTGATATTTACCATTGACTTACTTTTGAGAGTTCCCGATATTACGGCACTATTACAAGCGCCACGGTCACGACTCACGGGCACAGGTACTCAAATATACTCGGGTATAACCGTAACCACCTCACTTGTAAGAGTGCCGAAATGTCAAGTCGAGGGTAGTTTGATGTAGAAATCTAGTCAGTCACCACCTATTAATTCCATAGAAGTTGAATGTTATTATCAAAACATAAAACCACCTTTTAGGTGTGGCATATATATTTATTTAAAAAAATACTATACTAAGCTAAATACAATTTTTACTGACTTACCAAGCACGCAGAGTCGCGAACTAATTTTTATAATATGCACGTTGGGGGGGATAATATAAGTAATAATTTAATTGCTATTATTAACAATTTGTCCATAGAGAGCACAACATCCGTATAATAAGGCCGTTCATCTACGTGCGCGAGCGCTCGCTGGAGACGTTCGGGTGGTCACGTGACCTCCCGCACTTCGCGCACTGCGCGTCGCCGGACACGCCGCCCGTCGACGACGCGGACGAGGGCGATAGGTGAGCAAATTCAAATTATTTTGTTCAGCATAAAGTAAATTATTACAATTTTTTACTGAACGTCATGAGTCTACTACCAGTTCGGAAAGAAGAAGCCTCAGACCTGAAGGGAATTGACGAAAGAAACTCAGCGGAACTAATATTATTAAAACTGTAAACATTCTGTTGGAAAAATAATAAAAAAATAACTTTATTTTGATTAGAGGGCAACACTGTCTGTCCTTACAATATGTGTGTATACTGTATATAATAAAAAGTACTACAATACGATTGTTTTCTGTTATGGAGATCAGAATAGGAGCAATAGTTTTAGAGTTTATGCCCCTACGGTCTTAATTCTTAAAGGTTTACATTTAGATATTATTTGGGATATGTCTGTTTATCTTCTTATGGCAGACTTTTTTATCTAGTTGTTAATAAAATAAATTGAACCAAACCAATTAAAAAGTGCAATTTTGTGGATGTTTGAACAAAATCGTGTCACCATTATTTTTGGCAACGTTATACATTATAATTATTATCGAGACATAACTTTCATTCATTTTTTTTTTCAATTTAAAATTGCAACGTCATATTGTATTGGCCAATAAAACAATTTCATAATTTATACATTTCCAGCGCTAATTTGCTAAATCGTTCGGAATCTACGCCATGCACCAGCTCTGCCACGGATGACACGTTGACTCAGTCTATATCCGAGACTATGTCTGAGCCTATAGCGGCTGCACTAGACATACTAACAAATCAAGAGAGACTACATCCCTTCATATACACCAGTCTGAAGAGCGCTTTACGACCGCTAATAAGTGCCAGGTGATCATGTGTATTTGTTACTTTTATGTGCCATAAATATAGATATATAAAAACATAGGTACACATTTCCTAACAAATATCTCTTCAAAAATGTGGCCTCAACGAACTCAACTTAATCAAAAATCAAAAGTTCTAATTGTCTAAATATAAATTCGATTTACGCACACCACATAAAGTACTTTTTTAAACGAAACAACGTGCGTTTTAATTTTGTCGGCTGAAAAGCAATGAAAAAAAAAAGATTTGAAAACAGTACACAATTTCGAATTTGAGGACACTTTTGAGACACAAATTTTGTATTTTGAGTTTTTGTACATCAATGGCCAAACAATATTGTTTTCAATAAGGATTAATTAAAATTTCCATCAATTGATTTCAATCACGTAACTGCGATTGACAAGCGCTGCATTTGTACTTGTAAACCATCAATGGCGATTGACAATAACGTAAAATTGACAATTGTGATTGATCGTCTCGGGTCCGCTTAATATCGTAATGACGACATCCTAGGTCTTTTGGCTATTATTTTATATATTTCTATATAGCTCTCAACTACGAATTGAGAATTCAAACTGAATCTTTGGTTTTATTATTTCATTAAGATATTATGAAATAGCAATAACTATTTTATTATTTTAGGTACATTGAAAAAGATGTTAAAGAGAGACACCGAAAGAAATCAGTGATTCAGATGAAAAACGGAGCCCCCGTTTACGATTCCGAAGAGGGCACAGAAGAGGAGCCAATGCCATAGACAGCTGTCACTTTTCCCGCCAAGAATACACTCGCCGCCATGTTGATAAACTGTCAAAATGGCGTCCTTTCAATATAAACAAAATAAAAAATGTTGTATTGAAATCTACATTTATGTACTATAAAACTAATTTTACTGATCAATATCCTTCGTGTCTTCCCCATTCTAAGTGAAGAGGCGAAGTGAAAACGCTTAAGAAGAAAACTAAATTGTATCGAAAGTCAAATAAATAAAAAAAAAGAATGTTACTCTGGTGAGTTCTGTCTCTTTCACACTTCATTATAAATGCTTTTGAATGAAAGTGACAGACTTTGTTTTCGAAATAAGTTTCTACATATAACGGCTATACCGTATGAGTTGTGATTACTCAGTGATTAAATAATATAATTTTTATATTTACACGTAGTTTTGTTGCAAAGCGACAAGTATGATGTTATTTTTGTATCATAATAAAAGTATGAGTTATACTTAGTCTTATATCTTCGAAATCTGATTGTATAACGATTTTGTATTAAGCGATGTTTTATTTCGAAAGGTTGCCATATCGATGTTTTTGCTGCTATTTAGTAGTATTTTTATAAGAGAATGGAATTGATAACGAATTGCATTTGTTACAGTCTGGTATTCGTAATATTAAACAATATATTTTTCACTGTTGTACGTGTGTTAAATTCTACTATGAGTATAAGAGAAATATAAGAAATTGGCTTATTTATTGTGTCCAGTAGAGAGGAATATATGTGTTTACAATGTGCAGATTCTATTAGAGGCAATAGCCTTTGTTCGTTGAAATTATTGTTATATTTTGATAACTATTGAATTTTATTTTATTAATGATGTATTCAAATTAAGATTTAATCACGTATTTATAAACACCAAGTTTATTTATACAATTGATGTAGATTTAGAAAAGTAGTTTTTAGAAATTAAATTTACTTTAATTTTTTATTATGATGTAGATTTTAAGTTAGCTCTATGGAATTTTGCAAGTATAGTGAATTGATGTTTTTGCAATGGTAACATTAACATTTATAATCTGTTTCATTTTGAAAGATTGCATTTGTTAATGTTAGACTGATTTTGTTGTAACTCATTGTATGAGTGCATTATAATTGAAGCTGTGAAGATTTTTCATACTTTCATATAAGATATTTTGTTTGTTATCTATGTATTATGTGGCAAATATTTTTTTATTATGGCTTAAGATTCCTACAATATATTATCTAATGTAAGATACAGTCCCATACATTGCTTCCATGGTAATTGTAATCGTATATACAAATTGTCGTATGAATAAAGAGAAGCCTTTTGAAATTGTGTTTTATTTACATTTTCACACTATAGCTAAATATAGGTTCCATTGTCATAATTTATGATAGCTAAATTTAAACTATTAATATTATGGAAAGTCCAAGAAAAATGGTTAAAATCTTTAAAAAAGATATATATTTATTTATCAGCCCCTTTTTTATGTGTCTACCAAATTTTGAAACGGATAGTTGAGACAAACGCTTATAAATAAATAAAGATATTAGAGCGTTTTAAATATTCAGTAAATACCTTATCATTCAGTAATAATTTACTCCTTTAACATAGTAGCAACATCTCACCAACCAGTCTTTATGATAGCTTGCATAAAACCATAGACGTAGAGGAATGAACTGAGCAATACTGTCGTGAAATTGACGACTATAAATGCTTATAAAAATTGAAAAAGAGAGAAAGCGAACGTGCGGCCAATTCCTGTCTTATTTCAATATGAAGCACCTGGGCGAGAGAGCTTGGCTAGGAGTTTTTGGCCAAAAAAACGTTTAAATAAAACTAAAAATTTGAATACAAAAAAAAACAAAAGTAAAAACTTTGTATCCGACCGGGATACGAACTTGCAGCTTGGCCGCTTGACCACGATACTTATGTCTTAGCGACCATATTTTGCGTGGAAAGATGCGAAACAAAACCGCATGAAAACTCGAACACACGCGTTTACCTATATATAAGAATTGCTCGTTTAAATATATTAGATTTTTAAATGGGATGTAAAAAAGTTATAATCTATAGTTTATTAAAAATGATAATACATATTATAATGGTAAAATGGGACTGCCTCGGTGGTGTAGTGGCTAGCATGTACGGCTGCACACCCGGATTCGAGTCCCGGGTCGGGCCAATTTTAGTTATAGAGTCTTTCTGTATAGTAAGCCTCAGTACCAGCCCGGAGTTGCGAAGTTAGCGTTGTTAAAGTCGTCGGTCCTGCGCCTTAACTCTCACTGGTCATGTCGAGTAGTCGTCCCACCAGAATATGACAGTGACAGGAATAGAGAGTGCACGTTGTGTCTGCGCATACACTTGTGCACTATAATATCTCCTGCGCAGTTGGCTAGTCTCAATGAGATTGGCCGCTGTGGCCGGAATCGGTCAGGAGAACATCACCAATGGGATGTAAAATGGTTACAAATATCTATCTTTATTAATCGTATTTCAATTACAGAAGACTCCCGGCCGCACATACGTTTTGTCTCTGTCGCACCTTTCAGCCATTTTAGCTGACCGCTGTCAAAGAAACACCCACTCCACTATCTATGTCTATGCACAAAACAAATACGCCTTAGTGAAATCGATATCTTAAAATTGCACAGATAATATACTTAATATATAATAAATATTTCATACTCCTTTTATGACGTATGAGTTGTGAATACTCAGTATTTTTTTTAATATTGACTTTATTTACAATTTATATCCAATAAATCGTCTAACATCCACAGTTCATAGTTTTAATCATATTAAGGCTTCTTTGCATTTATAAGATTTACGCGAACTGTATAAGTTTTTTTGACTTGTGAAAATGACATTTTCATATTGATAGTAAAAAATGTTGTTTTTTTTTTATAAAGCAAGGACCTATAACATAATGTGCATTTCCTAAAGGTCTAAAACAAAGCCAAGCACGAAAAGAATTATATACTACATTTAAATTCGATTTTAGCTAAATCTTTTCTTTCTAGTAATAGTTATATTTCATCTACATTTTTAGTCTTTACACTTTTATATTTTGGAGGGACGACCTATCATCTTCCTTCGAACAGTAAGAGATAAGGCCAAGTATCGATTTTCTAGGCACTATATGACAGGAAAATCTATTAAAATCCCAGACCGGACTCGGGATTTGAACCCAGGGCACTTGATCTGAATCAGAAAATATCTATATCGCTGTCGTTACACACTGATAATATGAGTTTTGCACAGTTATAGTATATTTTAGAATAATAATTAGAATAACGAGACAAGTAAAAAATCATTGAATTATTTTAAATAACCTATTCATTACAAGTTAAATTCAGTAAACCTTAATTAATTTTGTTAGTAAATAAAATTAAAGGATATAAATGAAACGAACGATTGGTTTACTTACTTTATTATACATCTACTACATCTAACACCCACTACATGGTTAATATGCATGTGTGCGTGCACTACATAATGCCTTACAACTAATGAGTATTGCAGTACTAAAGACCCATCTTATTAGAGAAAAATTTAAATACACTGAATGTGATAAAACTACGTTACCTTAAACACATATAGATATTCCATAGACAATAAGCGATATTATATATTATTAAACATCTATTATCTTATCAAAGAACATTTAATCGAATCATAATTATTCTAATAACATTTATTTCATGACGACACAACATTTTACTTATTATAACTAAGTAATATATAATAATTAATATAACAACTAACTTAGATATTAACCCACTAAGTTACTAGTAAATTTGCGATCCACGTCTGTTTTACGTTACGTAGCTACGGTTATATGCGATCATAATGTTATTATAATATATATCATGTTTATATATTAATTAAATTAAATTATATAGGTCTCCATATGGGTTACATGTAGAGTTATGAAGGGGAAATCGAAGTTTATTTGCCACCCTGGCAGCAGGGCTTGCCGCCTGAAAACAAAGGAATATTGTTACATAAATATCTATTGATAGGATTATTACAATAGAAAGAGAAGTATATAAAGATTCTTATGTATAGTATATAAGCATCGGCTCTACGTAGAAAATATTACACTTATACGCATCGTCATACATATTACTGCTGAATGAATGCCTCCCTCAAATTAAAAATAATATGAGACATTCACTTGCATCATAAAAATATAGAATGTTTTGTATATAAAAAAATCTAAACCCAACTTTTTTATTTAGCAATGATTATCGTACTCATTATCTAGGAAACCTAAATGTTTTAGTACTGCCAAGACAAAGGACGAATAGTATTAGTAGACTGAATTTGAATAATTACACTACCACAGTAGTAGCCACACTTTAGGCGATCGCCTTTGATTTTAACGGAAATGTTGTTATATGCTAGAGTTTAAAAAAATGCTATTTTTCATAGCGAAAGGTTGTGAAGTTAATGTGCTGTAGTACCATGTGGCAAGTTGCAGTTATAACTTGAAGCCGTTTCCCGACTGCCATTTAGATGAGCGTATGCCAGTCGGGTGCGTATCTCCTGCGTCTCTCCCCGCACGATTGTCTTTGTGATTTATAGATTGTGATTGTAGATGCCTTCGTTAGTAGGTTAGAAACTGTGATATTACCTAGCACTAAATAAACGTAACTTTTGGATTTTTTCGCGAATTTATTTTGATATTTGGTCACCGACGTTTCAAATGTTTTATAGCAATCATGGCCAGGGAAAAACTGGGCTTTTAGACGTCTCAAAAGTTATTATGTAGTAGAAAAAATCAGAAAGTTATGTAAAATGCCGAAAAAATCTAAGAAATTGTTAAGCATTAAATATTTTTAAATGCGAGCAAATGTATAAAGACTTACCAGAAGGCTTGCCATCTCCGCATGTGCAGCTGGGGCCGCAAGTGCAGCCACCGCCGCACGCGGCCGTGCCGCCGCCACACGTGCCTAAATACATCACAATTTAGTTATTGATACATATGAAAATATGAATTTTTATATAAG